GTTTCCGAACATTCACAGGTTCTAGGTGGACATAAATTTGGGGCAGGGGTGGATATTCAACCCAGCACAGTCACACAACAATAGCAAATAGCCAAAGAGATAGAGACGTGGACATGAAACAGCAACACTGTACACACAGAAATAAAGTAAGTTACCAGAATCAGAAATGACAGGAAATAAAAATTTTAATAGACATACACAAAATAGTGGCTCGTTCCCCTCTTAATTTTGTTTGTCTTTGTCTAAGAGCATGTTAATACTCCACTGCTTGTGCACATAAATTGTTTTCCATCTAACCCAGTGATGCCCCGCCCCTGCTAGACAGTGGATTTACCCAAGGAGGGAACTTCTAAAAAGTACTGATACTGGCTCCTACCCTAGGAGGTTCCCATGTCGTTGGTTACTGATGTAGCTTGAATATGTGGATTTAAATATTTTCCTGGGTTAGGGGGAGGGTATAGCTCGGTGGTAGAGTGTGTGCTTAACCTGCACGAGGTCCGAGGTTCAATCCGCAGTACCTCCACTAAAAGAAAAATTAGTTAAAAAATACATAAGTAAACCTAATTACTACCCCCCACCCCTCCTAAAAAAAAAGATTTTCCCTGGTGATTCTGATGTACAGCCAAGGTTGAGAAACACTACCTCTGATTCATTAAGTTAGAATTTCTGAGCTGTATCCCAGGTAATTCTCATATGTAACCTGGATTGAGAAGTACTCATTCAGCTTCTACAGGCATTGTATCCCATTAATATATTTTCATTTATTTTCTGCTATGTCCCAAGCCCTGTGCAAGACCCTGGGTGGAGGAGGGGGTGAGCTAACAGATTAGGTCCAGCCTCGTAGGAATTCACCGTCAGCAGCGGAGAGGGGGTGAGCTAACAGATTAGGTCCAGCCTCGTAGGAATTCACCGTCAGCAGCGGAGACTGAGAAGATACACTTGATGAGAGTATGAGAGACAGAAGGCTGTGGGGTGGTGGGAGTCAGGGAGGTTTTTGCTGCAGTTAAATTTCTAAAAAATAAATACATTAAAAACCTACGACACACTTAACACATCTGTTTCTTGGGAAAGCTCTGCATCTTTTACTGTCCCCTCCTGTAGTCCTCACCGCATCCCTGTGGGGTCAGCAGTTTTAGTTAATAACTATAAACAAAGTGGCCTGAAGCTTACAGAATCGAGTTGTCCAGTACCACCCAGCTCATAAGTGTTGGGGCCAGAAGAGGCCTCCGGTCCCCCAGATTCTGTAGCTTCTGACTCCCCAGCACATGCACGGCTGGGCTGGGCTGGGTTTTGGCTCAGACACGTACTGACAACATTTCAAAGGAAAACCGCCCGTTAGCTGCCTGGTTTCTGTGGTCCACTGAAATGGAATGAGCATCAGTGCTACTCAGAGCGTGGGCTGAGGACCAGAAGCATCACCAGGGGAACTGAGAAAAGCTAATTCTGACCCCACCCTGGACACACCGAATCAGAGTTGCTGAGGGCAAGGCCCAGGAATGTGGATTTTAACAAGCTATCAGGGTGAGTCCAAAGTACCGTAAAGTTGGCCAGTATTTCAATATTTCAAATCACCCTGAAGGGAAAGATCCTGATTCATTTACAAAATTGCTTTTGCCCAAGAAATGTGGCTAAGCCCCACTGCAAACTAGAGACTGTTGGCAGAGCAACCTGTGCCTCTGTAAGGGCTGCAGAAGGCAAGGGAGCGCGGTCATGGTGCTTTACATGGCTGAGCACCAGGCGCAGACCCACCTCCACCTGAAACGCCCGTCTCCTCGCCCATCGTCCCCTGCGGGCCTTCATGCCTTTTCGGAACGGCAGCTGCCATCAGGTCAGATCAGTGACAGCCACCACTTCTCTGTCCTTTTCTAAACGAGCATTTATTTTATTGCTCCAACCAGATCTCAGACCCCTGTACACAAAGCCCATGTCTCAAGTTCCTTTGATTCCCCCTGGCCCATTAGAGTGTTAACCACAATTTCAGAACCAGAGACCTGACTGAAATAAACAGATATTTATTTGGGGTTTGTTAGGAGCGCAGTCCAGGAGACACAGATTCAAGATGTCTCTACAGGGCCTTCCCGGGACAGACCACCCCAGCCCCCCGTCCCCTCCACCTGCCTCTTGTTGGTAGAAAATTTTAGCCTCCTAGACCTTCCCCAAGTTCCACAGAATACATTTAATCAGAGAAGTGAGAAAATGCAGAAACAAAGGAAAACAGTCAAGTAAGACAAAATAATAACAGTTTAGCCGCTAAACAAAGTCAAGGACCTACAGTCCCTCCTCCGGGGCTGTGGGAGCTTTGAGCTGTTCTACAGGTACATGAACCCCCACTGGGTGGAGGAAGTTAGCTGTGCGCTGCCCACAGCGCGTAGACCCTAGACTGGTCGGCTCCCGGTTACCTCATCACCAGCCAATCAAAACAAGGTCCACAAAGCTGATCTCGAGCCCCAAAACCCTCTCCCTCACCCTGTCTTTAAGAAATCTTTCCCTGAAAGCCACTGGGGGAGCGTTCAGGTCTTTTAAGCACCAGCTTCCTGGACTCCTTGCTTGGTGTCCTGCTGTAAACACTGCACTTTCCTTCACCACAACCTGGTGTCGGTGGATCGGCTTTACAGCCCGAGGCTGAGCGGACACGAGTTTGGTTGGTAACAAAGAAGCACTTGAATTGTGCCCCCCCAGGCTAGAAAATGGGAGAAACTTATAAGGGCAAAAACTCACAAGATTACAGAAGTTGTTTGTCAAGAATTAGAATTGGAGCCGGCAAGAAGTAAAGGTGCTTGTTAAGCAAGGATTGGCTGGGGTTTGAAATGATTAGTTACAGTGTAAGGGGTGGGGTACTTTGAAATGGCATGGTTACAGCTAGCAGCTGCTAGCAGGCAATGTTTTGCAAACTTAATGCTGGTAGTGTCCTTGAGTTTGATACCGTCCAAGAAAGTTCAAGTTCTCAAGGATGCAGGAATGTGTTTGAAACCACAACCACAGTGGCCACCCAGCTCCATCTGAGAACCATAGTTACTCCATTTTGATTTTTAAATGATTTTAAGTATGTCATCAAGAGACAGTATGGACTGACGTCAGACTCTGAGACCTCAGTTCAAATGTGGCTCTCCCTTGAGAAATAACTCAAGCTTTCTCAGCCTCATTCCCCCATCTGTTAACTGGGGAGGGGATTGCACCCACCTCCTTGGGTGGATGTGATGGTCCTCATGATGCCTGGCACCGAGTAGCCTCAATAAAGGAGAGCCAGTGTCACCTGCCAGTGATGCTATAGGCTTCCAATATACAGCAGATCAAGTTTTTATGTGAGGTAGTGAACTCCTTATCCCTGGGGGGTTCAAGAAAGTCTAGCCAAACTATCTTATTTGTGAGATGTCATGAAAAGGTGTCTCCAGTTCAAAGAAGAAAAGAAAGGAAAGGAAGATGTTAGAGAAGGCACGAGGATCTGTCTTCCCACAAAAAAATGAATTGCACAGACAAAAAAGTGTAACTATTTTGGAACCCTGGAGTCTATTGAAGGCTGACAAATTCCAGGGGAATGTTTGGATGGTAAACTGGTTAATTTCCATCAATTTCATCTTGAAGCTTTCCATTCCCTGCCCTAGTCCGATGGCAGTCAGTGGTGTGTGTGTTCCTGGAGTAGCTCGTATGCAGACTTTTCGAGTGCCAGGATGGGCATTAAGGACCCTGTTTCCCAGATACTGGAGGCCTGTGTTCTGATCACTGGCTGCTGCTTCTAATCGCAGAGGTGCAGTCGCAGACACGGGTGGCCCTTCTTGACTTCCTCTAGGGACAAGCTGCTCTAATGCTCACGCAGTCTGGCTATGGGGTGGCCCACTATGCTGGCAGCACATTCTATCCTGCTGGATGGACTTTCCCAGCCAAGTTTTTTCATGTCCCTTCTACCTCTTGTTGATGCCACCAGCTGAGACATCTATGGAATGTCACGTTCACCAGCCCACTGCCAGGGCCCCTTTGCTGTGAGTGATGCAGCTTATGTGACCACAATGAGCTTGGTCTCCAGTGCTACCTGGGATGGCCCAAATCTGCCACTGGCGCAGAATGACAAATTCTAGTTAGAGGCTAAGTGTCCAAGGCCACTGGAAGCCACGAGCAGTCACAAGATGGCAGCAGAGGACACGTGTGTTCTATTTGCCAGAAAAGGGCAAGGCTCACCCTTAGAGCTGAAAGGGTCCTGGCTTATTTTCAGAAAGACAGATGAACTACTGACGGGCACCACAACCCGATAATCACTTCAGTCTCACCGGCACACAGATGTAGGCCCCGTTTTAGAGACCTCTGTGCTAGAGGCAGGATTACCACAACCAGACCAACGCGGGTGGAGAGAGGGATTGATGACGGCACCAGGAATGTGCAGACCACTGACTCGCACTGTTCCACTCAGTCTCAGCTGGGAGTGCACCTTCCCATGGGCACCCACCTGGTGCACAGAGAAGTGTCATGCAGCAGTGGCTCTCCAGAGCACGTAGCTGCACAGAGGGGTGTCTTGGATGTACTTGTCGTTGTCAGCCACTAGCTAGGTTGCTATCCAGGGTCCAAGAATAGGTAATAAGAGGCCTGCCTGGTCCCTAGGAGTATTGCTTAAGCATTCAATTTCAGTTTAGCCCAAGAGCTGATGGGCTCCTTCCAGATCTGTCACCAGCAGTAGGTGGCTGCTGCCACCCAGTGGGCTCCATCAGTTTTTAGCTGGGATATGCCTTCAGCAAACTGGGTCCAAGCATCCTCAGGGACTTCTGGGAGCCACCTCCAGGTAGGCAAAGGCTTTCCCCAGGAGTAACCAGGGGAGACCCAATGGATCCCTAAGGGTGTGGCCTCAACCTTCTTGTGTGAAGAGCACTCATCTGTGGGGCCAGACTTGATGTTCTGGAATGTTCCATTTCCTTTTTTTTTAAGTAAGAAATCTGTTTGCTTTTCCAACTCTGTCTTCAGCATCTGAGGGGGCCAAGGCAGGATGGGGATCCCTGGACATAGTGACATCTGGCAGTCCTCTCTAAGGCACTTGGTCTCCACAAGTGCCCAAGAGCAGGCCAGGAGCTGGTTTTTCTTTTTTTTTAGACATTATTTTAATTTTTTTAGTTGAAATGTAGTTGATTTACAATGCTGTGTTAGTTTCTGGTGTAAAGTATAGAGATTTTGTTATGTCTATGTGTATATCTATATCTATGTCTATTCCTGTTCAGATTCTTTTCCATTATAGGTTATTACAAGATATTGATTGTAGTTCCCTGTGCTGTACAGTAGGTCCTTGTTGTTTATCTATTTTATATACAGTAGTTTGTATATGTTAATCCGAAGCTCCTAACTTATCTCTGTCCCCTCTCTTTCCCCTTTGGTAACCATAAGTTTGTGTTCTATGTCTGTGAGTCTACTTCTGTTTTGTAAATAAGTTCATTTGTGTAATTTTTTTAGATTTCACATATAAGCAATATCATATTTATCTTGCTGTCTGACCTACTCTCCAGGTCCATCCATGTTGCTGGAAATGGCATTATTACATTCTTTTTTATGGCTGAGTAGTAGTCCATTGTGTGTCTATATATATATATATATATATATATAGACACACACATACTACAGCTTCTTTATCTGGTCATCTGTTGATGGACATTTAGGTTGCTTCTATGTCTTGGCCATTGTAAATAGTGCTGCTGTGAACACCGGGGTGCATGTATCTTTTTGAATTAGTTTCCTCTGGATATATGCCCAGGAGTGGGATTGCTGGATCACTCTATTTTGAGCTTTTGTTAGGAATTTCCATACTGTTCCGGGAGCTGTTTTATAAGTGGGGTCTCACCAGGAGCCATGCCTCCGAGGAGCCGGTAGCCCAAGGGCAGACTCTGGGCAGAGGCTGCCTCCTTCTGCTGGAGGCTCCACTCAGCATAGCTCGCAGTATCAGCCAGATTTCACCCCGTCCTCGGGTTTACGGGGCCCCAGCATAGGTTGCCTGCGGGACTCCCTCTAGCACACCTGCTACCCAGATGCCCAGGTAAACCTGGCAGATTTTCTGGTAACTGTGTACG